TTGTAGTAACTGTTAAATGAGAAACTATTTTGTTCTGTAAGCCTTCATCTTAAGTGAGGATAACAGCACAATTGGAACAGCGTAGTCAATGTCACTGAACTGTGTATGTAGAAATTTTTGAAACGGTGTATCTTTGGCTACGTGTATTTTCACCAAAAAAAAAGGTTGAGAATTTAGAGGGTTAATACGTTGTGGGGTTGTTAACCAATGTCTTAAAACAACGTGTGTACTACTGTTTCATGAGAAACTATTTGTTCTGTAAGCCTTCACCTGAAGTACAATAAAATATATTAAAAAAAAAAAACTTGTCATTTTTGAAGAACACAGGCCAATCGTTTCATAAAATTTTGTTTCTGTTTGCTAATGATTAGATTATGTTTATGCACTTCTTGCAGGGAAACCACAGAAGTGTTATAGTGTCTTTCTGATTACATCATATCAGGATGCTCGTGATGTCTCCATGTTCCAATATGATGGCACTTTGATCTCTTGGTTTAAATTGGGTTTCTCGGGTCCCTTGAAATTAAAGTCACTATATTTTTACCTTTATAGTTGATAGTCAACAGATACTTTGAAACTAAGTGTTCTGATCTACATGGGGAGGCCTTAAAAGAGCCAAGGATACAAATATGAGGGTGCAGTAATGGGCAGAGAAGCAGTGTGGCCAAATCTCTTCTGTGTAAACACCTTTCAGCAGGGCCTTGGTCCTGGCTGCCGGTGAGGGCTGTTCAGAGGGTGTATCTTAGCCCAGGAAAATCCAACTGCGACTGAGCAGCTGGCATTCAAAGGAGCCCTGGGGGGTGCAATGGTTAAGTGCTTGGCAGCTAGAAACCACTCAGTGGCTCCACAGAAGAATGACCTGGAAATTTTCTCCCGTAAAGATTATAGCCTAAAAACCCTATGGGGCAGTTCTACTCTGTCACATGGGGTTGCTAGAAGTCAGAATAGACTGGATGACAACTAACAACAATAACAACAGCTGGAGGTCAATGACTATTAAAGAAATGTGTTCATCTGATGACACATTAAGTGCAGACCAATGTTGGGGAGCATTAAAGTGTGAGCACTGCAGAGGGTGAGGCCCAGAGTCTAGAGTGGTGGGGGACAGTCAGAGGACCATTGTTACAACAGAAGTTACAAGGGGACAAAATGTCAAGCATAGGAAAGAAAAGGTAGACATGAGGTATGGCCATTGTTTTGGCACCAAAACAATGCTGAACATGACCTGAAGACTCCGTCTCCAAGATATCACCCACAACTCTACCCCAGACTCAACATGGCCAAAACCTGTCGTTCTTAGGTGCTTTCGAGTCGGTTGTGACTCATAGTGACCCTATGTACAACAGAACAAAACATAGTCCAGTCCTGCACCATCCTCACAATCACAAGCGATGCTATGTTTGAGCCCATTGTTGCAGCCACTGTGTCAGTCCATCTTGTTGAGGGTCTTCCTATTTTTCGATGACCCTATACTTTACCAAGCATGATGTCCTTCTCCAGGGACTGGCCCCTCCTGAGAACATGTCCAAAGTACGTGAGACGAAGTCTTGCCATCCTCGCTTCTGAAGGAACATTCAGGCTATACTTCTCCCAAGATAGATGTTTGTTCTTCTGGCAGTCCATGGTATATTCAGTATTCTTCACCAACAGAATTCAAAGGCATAAATTCTTCTCTGGTCTACCTTATTCATTGTCCAGCTTTCACATGCGTATGAGGCAATTAAAAATACTGTGGCTTGGGTCCGGCACACCTTAGTCGTCAAAGTGGCATCTTTGATTTTTAACACTTTAAAGAGGTCTTTTGCAGCAGATTTGCCCAATACATTTATTTCCTGACTGCTGCTTCCATTCGGGGGCCTCTGGAACTTGAGAGATTCAACATGGCCAAAACCTAACTTCTCATCTTTCCACTGAAAATTCCTCCTACAACCAACTTCCCCATAACAGTTGATGGTACTCCCATCCTTCCAGCTGCTAGATTCACAAACCCTGGTGTCTTAGTTGGCTTTAACAAACAAATGTATTCTCTCACAGTCTGGGAGGTGAGAAGTCCAAATTCAGGACGCCAGCTGCAGGGGAATGCTTTCTCTCTCTGTCGACTCTGGAGAAAGGTCCTTATAATCAATCTTCCCCTGGTCTAGGAGCTTCTCCGTGCAGGGACCCCGGGTTCAAAGGACACGTTCTGCTCCTGGCACTACTTTCTTGGCGGTATGAGGTTTCCCCCTCTCTCTGCTCTTCTCTCTTTTATATCTCAAAAGAGATGGACTCAACATACAATCTAATCTTGTAGATTGAGTCCTGCCTCATTAACATAACTGCCTCTAATCCTGCCTCATTAACATCATAGAGGTTGGATTTACAACACATAGGAAAATCATATCAGATGACAAAATGGTGGACAATCACATAATACTGGGAATCATGGCCTAGCCAAGTTGACAAATTTTGGGGGGACACAATTCAATCCATAACATATGGGGCCATCCCTGTTTTTACCCCTTCTCTCTCACATTAGGAAGTCTGGCTGGCTGACTTAAAAAACAGATCCAGAATCCAATCACTTCTACCTCCATAGCCATGCCATTGGTTCAGTGACTGTCACTACTCATCAGCACACTGTGCCAAAAGCACGAACGAATGAGTCTTAGAAGAAACGCAATCAGAACGGTCCTTAGAAGCAAGAAATGGCCAGACTTCGGTTTACTTACTTTGGACACGTCATCAGGAAAGACCAATCATCATAGTTGGTTAAGTACAGGGTCAGCGAAAACGAGGGCAACCCTCTGTGAGATGGGCAGACAAAAAAGCTTCAACAATGGGCTAAAACATACCAATGATCATGAAGATGGTACAAGACTGGGCAGTGTCTCTTTCTATTATACACAAGGTCGCCATGAGCTGGAGCCCACTCCAAGGCAACTAAGAACTTGGTGGTATCAATTCTGGACCATGAACCAAGAGTGACTCCCCTCTATGGGTCCCAGGGAGAGGGAGAGGGAAGGTGAAAAGTCCCACACAACATCATCCTCTATATCGAGACGCCAAGAACATGAGGGCTAGAATCCCAGTGGGTGAGAAAGCCCTCCACTCGCCTGTGTCAAATCCATCTCCACTGCCGCCACCATCTGACCCCATGTGTGAACCACGGTAGCCAACGAGGCAAGCAATGGGGAGAGACCTGTGGGCTCGGCCAACCCCCACACCACCTTGCCCTGGTCTGGGCATGACTGCGGGCTGTCTCACTCTGAGCCTCAGTGTCCCCTGGGGGTCCCTGAAGAAAGCCCTCATTCTAGGGGCTCAGGGCTCGATCAAAGACACAGACGTGGGCTCCATTCTCTTCCCTGTCTTCTGCTTGGCCCGGAAAAACCACCTGGGACGTTAAATCCGGTAGGGACAGAATCGCCGCAGCCAAACTAACTTCCAGAAACCATTTCAACAGAAGTCCCGCCCTACCTCGCGGGCCCTGGAAATGGCCTCTCCTGCCCGTGGTTGACCCAGCTACCACCGCAAATGCAAATGCACAACCTTCTGGGTAATGCAGTTTCTCTCCTGCACCTGGCCGGGCTAGGACGGGTCCTCCCAAGCCTCCAAGACAGCAGTCAAGCAACACTGCAAGGGACATTGGGAAATAACATTGCCAGGTTCCATAGAGAGAGACTGGGCTTTGCCTCCAAAGGAGCCAGGTCCACATTTCTCTGACACGCTGGGCAAAGCCTCATCCTCAGAAATCTCTAATAGGAGACCCTTTCGTTGACTTTCCTGCTCCTGAGGTACTAGGCGAGCTGCTTGACATCTAAGACCCTCAGGGACCAAGATTCACAAGGAAAAGTAAGATCATACCTTGATTGCAGAGTCTTTGTATACCTCAGGTTGTGCTCAGGTATGCACCCCGGCTCCCTGTTCTGGTCCCTAACAGCACATCATCAAACTCTCAGGGATAATGAGGAGAAACGTTCTCTCCAAGGCAATAGGGACTGTGCGTCTGTTTAGCCCACAAACCAGGCTTTGGGGGCTTTTTTACCATATGCCAGTCTCATAAATCTCCAGGGATTACTTGTGCATTTGTGTTACTACACCTACAGTGGTGTATCAGTCCCTCCATCCTATCTCACAGGTCCCAGGTGTGTTTTGCATATGGCAGTTGTGTACCTCATGTCTGTCACTTACCTTTTCTGTTGTGAATGTGGTATCTGTGGGTCCAGGCTATGTCAAAGGGTGTCAGCATTGCACAAGAGTCACAGTGTCCCTAGCATGTATCTGGGGGTATCCCCAGGTTGGGCCGAGGTGTGCAATAAGGCAAATCAAGGATGCGGCAAATTCTAGTGGACAACTGACTCTGAAACTTCAGAAAATAAGAATTAAAAAAATAAAGTGGTATCTATAGGTTAAAAGAGACTTATAAGACACCCATACCCCTGTAGTCTTTCCTAGAAGGCTTCGAGCAGGGATGCAAACTAGGCCAAAACTGTAGTGAGAGGTACTCTCTTCCATCATACTGTCTGTCCCCTCTGAGGCAAAGTTGGGGGCCCCTACAAAAGCTATTCATCCCTTTGTACTGGCAGAGTTCAATTCGGTTTTCAACCCACTCCACACAATGAATAGAACTCTTAAGATTAAAGGTAATTTAAACAATAAAGACCTTTATTATTTCATAAACCCAAGCAATGTGAAGCACAGTTCCCTGGTCGATGACTTCCAGGGTGGAAAATCCATTATGTGCATCACTTGAGACCAACAATGCCGTAAAGAAGGTGAAGTTTTAAAAGCCACTAGCAGTCCTCTTGGCCAAAACTGGGTCAGGTCTATGCCCTGACTAGACAGAAAAAAGGGAATGAGATCCCCCTACCTCCCATCACTCCCCAAGGGCTCAGACTATTCACGATTTTCTCCAGGGAATGGGAGAGAGTACAGATCTGTGTCTTCCTGAGCATGTTGGAGTGACTGATAAACACTATGGGGACTTGCCAGGTGGTAGAAGCGAAATGGCTTCTGCTACAGAACCTGGCAGAGACATACATAAGTCTGGCAGTTATGTCCTGGGCAGGTTAGAATATACAATGGCTGAAAACTTCTTGCATCTCTAGAACTCAAGGGGAATCTCCCCACTGTTATGTTTGGATGTACAAGGTTCAACTTCAGGCAGATGGCTCCTTCACAATCTCTCTAGTGCTGTTATATTGAACAAAGAGCACATGTCCTGCAGGTCTAAGGCCATTCTCCTGTGGAATTTTTGATGCTGAATGAGGTTAGATCACTGACTGAAGGCTTTGTCACATTCACTGCATTCATAAAGCCTATCTGGGTTGTGAAGTTTTTGGTGCTGAAGCAGAACAGACCATTAACTGAAAGCTTTCTTACACTGACTACACTCGCGAGGCCTCTACTTGGTGTGAAGTTTTTGGTGTTTAATGAGGACAAAGTTTTGGCTAAAGCATTTCCCACATTCACTGCATTCATAAGGCCTTTCTCCAGTGTGAATTCTCTGATGCAGAATGAGGCTAAATCTTTGGCGGAAGGATTTCCCACATTCACTGCATCCATAAGGTCTTGCTCCAGTGTGAACTCTCTGGTGCTGAATGAGGCTGGAGCTTTGTCTAAAGCATTTCCCACATTCATTGCACTCATAAGGCCTTGCTCCAGTATGGATTCTCCGGTGTTGAATGAGGATGGAGCTCTGGCTAAAGCATTTCCCACATTCACCACATTCATAAGGCCTTGCTCCAGTGTGAATTCGCCGGTGTTGAACGAGGCTTGAACTTTGTCTAAAGCATTTCCCACAGTCGCCACACTCATAAGGCCTTGCCCCAGTGTGAATTCTCTGGTGCTGAACAAGTTTGGATTTGCACCCAAAGGCTTTCCTACATTCACTGCACTCATAAGGCTTTTCTCCAGTGTGAATTCGCTGGTGCTGAACAAGTTTGTATTTCAACCAGAAGGCTTTCCCACATTCACTGCACTCATAAGGTCTCTCTCCAGTGTGAATTCGCTGATGCTGAACAAGTGTATGTTTGTAGCTGAAGGGTTTCCCACATTCACTGCACTCATAAAGCCCCTCTCCAGTGTGGACTCTTTGGTGCTGAACAAGTGTGCGTTTGCGGCTGAAGGTTTTCCCACATTCTCCACACTTGTAATGAGTTTTTCCATTGTGAAAGGCCTCACCACAATCAGTACCACTGTGTAGCTTTGCCCCTCTGGGAGTAGAATGGGGTTGAAAAAGGCTCACATCTGTTGGGAAGTCCTTCCCAACCACCCCGCAGATGAAGGGCTTCTCTGACACATGGAGTCTGTAGCTATTCACAAAGGAGGCCGTGTCCATGTTCTTGCTGAAGGGTTTCTCTCCAATGTGCTCCTTCTGGTGGTGGTGAAGGTCTGTGCTCAACCAGAAATGTTTCCCACATGCCCCACATGTGTACAACTTCTGCCCACGATATATTCCTGGGGGATCAGCCAGGTACAAAATTTCTTTCATGACAGGGACACACGTCTCACAGAGATGAACGTTCTGGGTTGATGGACCTGACTTTGGAGTCCCAGCTTGTGACACTATTCCCACAGAAACACTCTGCTCAGAAGGTGCCTCCGCATTCTCTGCTCCACACCAACCTGAAAGCAGAAATGTTGGTGAAGTGCCTGTTGTCTTTGGGGGCAAGGGCAGCCCTGTCACAAATGTGCATTAGACACACCAAGGAATGAGTACATGGGATTGTTCTCAGAACAAGGGAGTTGGGTTCAGGCTGAGGAAGGGGCTGCTTTGCAAAACTGGGACTCTAAAGGTCAGAGAATTAGCGAGGCTTCATAAGATGAAGAACACAAGGATGGGGTGCAGCACAGCCTCTCTGACTTGCCTCTGCCAATGGCCTTCATCAGGGCCTTGGGTGCTGTTGACAGGTGAGCACTGTAGAGAAGTTTGTGTCCAGGTATAGGAATATCCAGCTGCACTGAGAAGCTGGTGTTCAAGAACTGTTTAAGGATATATGCACACATCACAACACACTATGCGTTGGCCAATGTTGGAGAAGATTGCAGAGGGAGTAGTGGAGAGGAATGGGTGAGGGGTGGAGGCAGAAAAGTTTGGAGTAGCCATAGGCTGGAAGTGAGAGTAGAAATTACAAGTGGCAAAGTATTGAGAATGAGGAAGAAAAGGTAGAAATGAGGTGTGGCCACTGGTATTTATACCAAAACAAGTGGACATAGGACAGGTTCTTGGTATGATTTGAGCATAGCCCTGATGTCATGTCCACCCCCAGCTGCCACTCAGCGGGGCCAGGCCCCCACTGAGCCCATTTGCTGAGGCTGGAGTCATGTCCATCCTGTGAAGCACCCAGGGCTCTTTCCCCATCCCCAAATGAACTACATGAGACCTGAATAATGCACGACGTAAGAGAAAGACAGGACATGGAGTGTCCAGCACTGACCTAGAGCAACTCAAACACAACAGACCACAGGAAAGAAAAAAAATTACAAGAAGAACCTCAAAGGAGTGTCTTGCAGGAACAACCATGGCCCACATAACTAGTGACCATGTCAGTGACTGCAATTCTTGTCACAGGCAGGCAGGAAGAAATGTCAGCTAGAATAAGTGAGCAGAATCGGGGGTACTGAGGTGCCAAGGATGTGGACAGAGTTACCCTGCCAGGGAGAGGGCAAGCACGGTGGGATCCTTTAGGCTAACTGCAAGAATCCTGACTCTGAGTCCTTCTCTGTGAGGCTTTACAGCAGCAGGTATTGGGGCAGCAGGGGAAATGAGAGGCCAGCGTAAACTATCTAGCCACAGCAATGACAGCACCTCTCCAGGGAACAGTGGAAGGAACTAGTGCCCACGGTCCAGAGGTGAGAAAGACAGAGAAGTCCCTGGAGAAATGGGAAAGTAGAGGTCATGAGGGTGGGTGTGAGGGCCTTACCGAGCGAGGATATAAGTCCAAAGTTGTCCAGCATCACATCATGGTACAGGTGTCTCTGAGCCTCATCAAGGAGCCCCCACTCCTCCTGGGAAAAGTACATAGCCACATCCTCAAAGGTCACACTGCCCTGCCAGGATAGGGAGGGAAGAAACCATGAACAGCCTCTCTCTGATAACCCACAATCCATCCCCTCCACATCTACCCCATGTCCAGCATCCTCCCAATATCCCAACTCAGAGGAGATATTAGCCCTGGTGCCCATGGTGCTACTCTTTCCTCATGTCTCCATTAACCACTGTATACACAGCCCTTAGTAACAACAGGTAAGTGGGCAGATGAACACCATCTAAGCTCTGGGCATGGCCTGCGGGGCACCACTCCTCCTGCCAGCCAATTTCCCTGGGGTCTTCCATATCACACCTCCCAGATAGCAGAGTAAAATTTGGGTTCCCCCTTCACCCATAACTCCTCAATACCAGGGCCCTGGGACCATCAGTTCACACTCCATCTCCATGTGCACATCATTCTTTAGACAGAACCTCTCTGGACCCTACAGCCACCACAACTTCCCTGCCCCACACAATAGACATCTCCCTGGACTCACCCTGTTACTCGGCACATGGCTTCAAGAGAGGGCTTGGCAAATTCAAACAGGATCCAGTACTTTCCCAGATCTCTGATGGCTCACACTGCCACGGGCAGCCCCGAATCCTTCTACAAAGACCTCCCTGCCTGCCTCTGATTCTTGTTTCAACATAAGCCACTCAGAGCCACATGCAGATCTCAACTACCCATGGTGATCACTTCTGTGCTGCACTTGCTGTCCTCTTAGCAGTCACAACCTTCCTCTCTCCAGTCACAGTCCAGTCTCACTGGTCCCTTGTACCAGGCAGTGACTCTCACAGATCACCTCATTTGCCCCTGACCTTAGCCATTAGTAAGACTGAAACACCCCCAGACTGCCTGAGAGCTCACCACAAAATTCTGGTGAGTCTGTACCTGTTACCCTAAAGTCGATTCCAACTCATAGCAACCCTATAGGACAGTAAAACTGCCCCATAGGGCTTCCAAGGCTGTAATCTTTACAGAAGCAGACTGCTAATCTTTCTCTTGTGGAGTGGCTGGTAGCTTTGAACCTCCGACCTTTCGGTTAGCAGCCGAGCACTTATTCACTGCACCACTGGGCTCCTTGTTGAGTCCTTAGAGGGGTGAATAAGCGGCAGCTCCAGCCTCAGTGTCACCTTCCTCAACTACTCCTGTGCTTCTGCACTCATCTCATGTCTACTCTTCCCTTGGAAGCCTTGTCCATCTGCCAGACCATCCTCCCCACACATTCCTCCTTCATGGCCTCTCTCTCACATGTGTTTGTGACACCCACTATCCCCAACCGGGTGCCCAAGCAAGAGACCTAGTCCTCCACATTCATTCCCTTCTTCCTGGCCTACTAATAGCATTACCACCATGAACTGAAGTCCTCATCCTAAATGTGACCCACAGCTCCACCATGGTTCACACACTAGCCACCACTTTTTGAGCTCTCCATCCTGAACCTCTCCCCAGATTTCCAGACCTGTGTGTTCACCTGCCCACTTGATGCTTCCACTCAGTGGTTTCTGAAACAACCAGACTCTTAAAAAGGTCAAAACAAACCTCCGGAGATTCCCAGTGAAAATTACTCCTAATACTGACTTCCCCATCTCAGCTGATGGAACATCCATCCCTTCAGTTACTAGAACCAAAAACCGTGGGGTCATCCCTGACTCCTCCCTTTCTCTCTCTCACCCACCACGTCCCATATTCCATTTGGCCCTTCTTAACAACTGGATCCAGAATCCAACCACATCTCCCACCTCCACAGCCACCATTCTGGTCCCTCAACACTCACCTTGACTATTGCAGTTGCCTCCTCCCTGGTTTTCCTGCCTCCCATCTTACCCCCCCCCCAGAGTCGACTCTGCAGTCAGACAGAGCCTGTTAACACCTCAGTCAGATTACTTCCCTTCTCTGATCCAAACTTCCTATAACTTCCAGAATAGATGCCCAACTTCTCAGGCAGTCGCACTGCAGCTCTGACTCCTGCCCCTACCCTTTTGTTCCTAACAGAAAGACCTGCTGTCCCTTGGCCCCAGCTCAGGCTCATCTGCACATGCTGGTACCTGTTTCCCGTGAGGCAGGTGACCTCAGAGCCCAACCCTTCTACGAGACACCTGCTCTGGCTAATCTTCCTACACCGAGCAGAACAGCTGCACATTCTTCTGAAATTGTCCTTGACAAGATAACCACAGAACCACCATAGCTGGCCTCAACCAGTTTCAGCAGGTTTTCTATGCCATCTTAACACTTCAAGTGACCTATCAGCTCCTTAAGTGAAAAATACACCCACCTCTGGGTGGAGACTTAACAAGCTAATGAAAGAAAATCGACCTCTTCCTCCATCCCAGAGAATGGAGACCTTGTCTAAAGAAAACGCCTAGTCATCCCCAAGCTCTGAGCACCTGCATGAAGGTCAATCCTGAATATTATGATGAATGTGCATTCCCTTGTCTGCTCTCTGTAAAAGCCCACCTCCCCAAGCTGCCTGTGAGCAGTGTTGGAGGCAGAAGCCTTGACTGCTCTTTTCCTTGTGCAACAAAATAAAGGTGCCCTTCTTCTCTCCCACCTCAGCCTCTTGTTTATTGGTTGTAATAAGTCACACGGAACACCCAGATAACCTTCCATACCTCTACCTCTTTCCACTGGTTGCCAGAAATGTGAACCCCCTGTATAACCCTTGGCCTGGATTCAGAACTCTGGTCTTGGGGTTTTCCCAGACCCAAGAACTGGGAGAATGGCAGGCAAAGAGTCCCGGCCACCACCATCCAAGAGACCATATAGTTGGGGTCAGGACCAGTGAGGCTCTGAGACACCCTCCACTTCTTGTCTAGGTTCCACAACTGCTTCTTCATCCATGGGAAGCTGTGGGAAGAGGCAGCCATAGAGGCCTGCGACCATGGCAGCTTGATAGGCACAGGCTTCCCCTGAACGCCTGCCCAATCCTGGAACCAAGCAATCTCGGGTTGACTGGCACACCTCTGGGCCTCGGTGCTACCTCTTACTAGCTGTGTGACCACAAACAAGAACTCAACCGCCCTGGGCCTCACTATCCTTATCATTCTCCTTCCAGTCTGTTCTTCCTCTGGGCAGCCTTTGGGAAACTTTAAAAACTCTAACCCAGATCGTGTCCCTCCTCTGTTCACAACCCTCCATGGCTCCCAGCGCCCTCAGAAGGAACAAATCCTCAGCCTGACATTCCAGGCACGACTCAGCCTCAAACTGTGTTCTGCAAACACAAAGCAGAGCCCAGCTTTACTGAAAGTCCCAGGCTCAGTCGTACCTCCAAGCCTTTACATATGTCAATCCCCCTGGTGGCGTGAGCGGTTAAGCGAGCTCGGCTGTAAGCCGAAAGGTTGGCCGTTCAACCCACCCAGCGGCTCCCGTAAAGATCATAGCCTAGAAAACCCTCTGGCAGTTCTCCTTTATCACATGGGGTCGCTATGAGTCGGAATTCATTCAATGGCACCTAACAATTCCCACTAATACTCTCCCAGTCCTTATCACGTAGGCTGTCAGAAATAGGAACCCCACCCACAAGCGTCTAACGGTCCAGGACACAGGAACCTGAGCTGCAGTGACATAAGCAGGCACCTCTCATACGGTATGGGGGTAAGAATAGGTGAGGGCCTGGAGGACGTAGCATTTACCTGGGCCAGGTCCCTCAGAGTGGCAGCCGCCATCGGATCCTGTCGGCGGGGCAGGGCAGGGAAGGGGCTTGCGACAGCAGAGGAGACAGGCGCACAGCGGTCTCTATGCAGGCTCAGGAGCGGGTCGCCACAGGCGGCGCCCCCGTCGACCCTCAGACTAGCCTCTGTGAACTAGGAATAACGACCTCGGCCCCAGCCCATCGCTCCGGAGCCCCTGATCGTGAACACACCCAAAAGCAGGCAAAACGACCGCCATCAGGAAGACGCCGGACATCCCGCCCCGACGCGAGGATCTCTCACGGAAATGCCCTTATCTGGGCCTTCATTGGCTCAACCCGCTGCCGCTCGTCGCTGAGCCCTTAGGGTAATGTAGTTTCCACATCCCTACAGGCTCCGGCAATGGGCGTCCACCGGCCCCATCTCCCAAAACAAAAGCCAGGAGGCACCACAGGGGAAGTTGGGAAATGGGCTCTCCACCTCCTAGGCTGGGGGGGGGGAGGCGGGGGGCTCGCTCTTTCTTAAAGGGGCAGCACGCGGTTTCTGGGGATTGTTGTTTGCAACTGATTACCAGTGTTTAGAAACATTATTTCAGAATCCATGAAGCTCAGCATACTCCTAGAGACTGAGACTAAAAGTATTATTTCAGATGCTCCCAAAGGCTCTAGATCCAAATGGGCATAGAATCGCAGACAGTCATTTAGACAAAAAAAATCATCCACCGGTAGCTAGAAACAAAAGAACATTACCATTGTGGTTGTTAGGTGCTATCTTAGTTATCTAGTGCTGCTATAACAGAAATACCACAAGTGGATGGCTGTAACAAACAGAAGTTAATTCTCTCACAGTTGAGAGGCTAGAAGTCCAAATTCAGGGTCCCAGCTCCAGGGGAAGGCTTTCTCTCTCTGTCGGCTCTGGAGGAAGGTTGTTGTTATCAATCTTCCCCTGGTTGAGGAGCTTCTCAGCGCAGGGACCCTGAGTCCAAAGGATGTGGTATTCTCCTGGCACTTGTTTCTTGGTGGCATGAGGTCCCCCTGTCTCTCTGCTCGCTTCTCTCTTTTATATCTCAAAAAAGATTGGTTTAAGACACAACCTAACCTTGTAGATTGAATCCTGCCTTATTAACATAACTGCCACTAATCCTACCTCATTAACATTATAGAAGCAGGATTTACAATACATAAGAAAATCACTTCCGATGACAAAATGGTGGACAAGTACACAATACTGGGAATCATAGCCTAGCCAAGTTAACAGACATTTTGGGGGGACCACCAATTCAATCCATGACAGGTGTCATGAAGTCGGTTTGACTCATAGCGACCCTATATACAACAGAACAAAACACTGCTTGGTCCTGTGCCATCCTCACAATTGTTAAGCTTGAGCCAGTTGTTGCAGCCATTGTGTCAATCCATTTCCTTGAGGGTCTTCCTCTTTTTCACTGACCCTCTACTTTACCCACCGAACCCTGGTGACAATGGTTAAGAGCTTAGGCTGCTAACCAAGAGGTCAGCAGTTCGAATCCACCAGCTGCTCCCTGGAAACCCTATGAGGCAGTTCTACTCTGTCCTACGGGATCGCTATGAGTTGGAATCAACTCGATGGCAATAGGTATTTTGGATTTTCTACTTTATCAAGCATAATGTCCTTCTCCAGGGACTGGTCCCTCCTGATAACATATCTAAAGAATGTGAGAGAAGTCTCGTCACCCTCGTTTCTAAGGAGCATTCTGGTTCTACTTTTTCCAAGACAGATTTGTTCATTCTTCTGGTTAAAAATAACCCAAACCAAACATGTTGCCACTGAGTTGATTCTGACTCATAGCGACCATACAGGACAGAGTAGAACTGCCCCACAGAGTTTCCAAGGAGCACGTGGTGGATTAAAACTGCCACCATGGTATATTCAATATTCTTCACCAACACCATAATTCAAAGGTGTCATTCTTCTTCTGTATTCCTTATTCATTGTCTAGCTTTTGGATGCCTATGAGGTGATTGAAAATACCATGGCTTGAGTCAGGCCCACCTTAGACCTAGAAGTGACATCTTTGCTTTTTAACACTTTAAAGAGGTCTTTTGCAGCAGATTTGACTAAGGCAATACATCCTTTGATTTCTTGACTGCTGCTTCCATGGGTGTTGACCTTGGATCCAAGTAAAATGAAATCCTTGAAAATTTCAACATTTTCTCTGTTTATAATGATGTTGCTTGTTGGCTTAGTTGTGAGGATTTTTCTTTTCTTTATTTTGGGGTACAATCCACACTGAAGGCTGTAGTCTTTGATCTTCATTAGTAAGTGCTTCAAGTCCTCTTCGTTAAGCAAGCAAGTTTGTGTCATCTGCATATTGCAGGTTGTCAATGAATCTTCTTCCAATTCTGGTGCCTCCTTCTTCTTCATATACTCCAGCTTCTTAGATTATTTGCTCATTACCTTATTCCTCTTCAAATGCATGCACCCTAAAGTGTTATAGTCGGTTTTGTGAATATCAGTATGTTCAGTAGTTGTTTGTTAAGTGTTGTGGCATCATAGTGACCCCTTGCCACAGACTAGAACAGCCCTATAGGGTTTTCTTGGCTATAATCTTCACAGGAGTAGATCACTACGTCTTTCCCTGGGAGGAGGCTGGTGGGTTTGAACCATGCACCTTTCAGTTAGCAGCCCAGCGCTTAACCATTATGCCACCAGGGCTCCTTATGTTCAGTTAGGGACAAGAAAAAAAGGCTCCAGATAGGGCCATGACAAAGAAGATAGAAGAGTGATGTACCCCCTGAAGCAGGTGGATGAGTGTGGAGCTCTGCTTCTGGTTCCCAAAGATGGCTCTTTTGCATTTATAGTCAGTGATTGTATCCAACCCAGGGAAAAACATTGTCTTACCCACATAATATTTCTTTTTCTTTTTCTAAACCCTAAGATATATTCAAACGTGGAATGCACGAAGTATGAATCTAGGAAAATTGGAAGTTGTAAAAAATGAAATGGAACACTTGAAGATAGATTTGCTAGGCATTAGTAAGCTGAAATGGGCTGATACTGGCCATTTTGAATCAGACAATCATATGGTCTACTATGCTGAGAATGACAAGTTGAAGAGGCATGACACTGCATTCACTGTATAAAAGAACATTTCAAGATATATCTTGAAGTACAACATTGTCAGTGATAGGATAATATCCATACGCCTACAAGGAAGACCAGTTAATACAATGTCATCGATTGAATTATGTCCTCCAAAAAATCTGTGTATCAATTTGGCTGGGCCATGATTCCCGGTATTGTGTGATTGTCCACAATTTTGTCATCTGATGTGATTTTATTATGTGTTGTAAATCCTACCTCTATGATGTTAATGAGGGAGGATGGGCAGCAGTTGTATTAGTAAGGCAGGACTCAATGTACAAGGTTGGATCGTGTCTTGAGGCAATCTCTTGAGATATAAAAGAGAGAAGTGAGCAGAGAGACAAGAGGACCTCATACCACCAAGAAAGAAGCACCTGGAGCAGAGCATGTCCTTTGGACCCGGGATCCCTGTGCCTGAGAAGCTCCTCGACGAGGGGAAGATTGAGGACAAGGACCTTCCTCCAGAGTCAATAGAGAGAAAAAGGCTTTCCCTTGAGCTGATGCCCTGAATTTGGACTTCTAGCCTACTAGAATGTGAGAAAATAAATTTCTCTTTGTTAAAGCCATCCTCTTGTGATATTTCTGTTATAGCAGCACTAGATGACTAAGACATACAAATATTCAAATTTACACACCAACCACTAATGCCAAAGATGAAGAAATTGAAGATTTTTGCTGACTTCTGCAGTCTGAAATTGATCAAACATACAATCAAGATGCATGATAATTACTGGTGATTGGAATACCAAAATTGGAAACAAAGACAAAGGATCACTAGTTGGAAAATATGGCCTTGGTGATAGAAATGATGCTGGCAATGAAAGAGTTTTGCAAGAACAATGACCTATTTATTGGAAATACCTTTTTTCAACAACATAAATGGCAACTATACACGTGGACCTCACTGGATGGAATACACAGGAATCAAAACAACTACATCTGTGGAAAGAGACAAGGCCAGGGGCCTACTATGGAACTATCAATTATTCCTATGCAAGTTCAAGTTGAAGCTGAAGAGAATTAAAACAAGTCCACAAGAACAAAAGTATAACTTTGAGTATATCCCACCTGAATTTAGAGACCATCTCAAGAATAGATTGACACATTGAACACTAACGACCGAAGACCAGATGAGTTGTGGATGACATCAAGGACATCATACATGAAGAAAGCAAAAAGGTCATTAAAAAGACAGAAAATAACAAAAAGACCAAAATGGATGTCAGAAGAGACTCTGAAAGTTGCTCTTGAACCCAGAGTAGCTAATGCTATTGGAAGAAATGATGAAGTAAAAGAGCTGAACAGAAGATTTCAAAGGGCAGTTTGAGAAGATAAAGTGTTATAATGAAATGTGGAAAGACTGGGAGTTAGAAAACCAAAAAGGAAGAACACCCTTGGTATTTCTCAAGCTGAAATACATGAAGAAAAAGTTCACTCTTGGAGTTGCAATATTGAAGGATTGTGTGGGCGAAATATTGAATGATGCAGGAGGCATCAAAAGCAGATGGAAGGAACACACAGAATCACTGTACCAAAAGGAATTGGTCGAGGTACACCAATTTCAGGAGGTAGCTGAAAGATGATCATGAACCAATGACACTGAAGGAGGAAGTCCAAGCTGCACTGAAGGTATTGGCAAAAAAACAAGGCTCCAGGAATTAATGGAATATCAACTGAGATGTTTCAATGAATAGATGCAACGCTGGAAGTGCTCACTTGTCTATGCCAAGAAATTTGGAAGATAGCTACCTGGCCAACCGACTGGATGAGATCCATATTTGTACTCATTCCAAAGAAAGGTGATCCAACAGAATGTGGAAACAATATCAATAATATCACAATCAAACAATATCATTAATATCACACACAAGTAAAATTTTGCTGAAGATCATTCAGAAGCGGTTGCAGCAGGACATCCACAGGGAACTGCCAGAAATTCAAGTCGGATTCAGAAGAGGACATGGAACGAGGTATATCATTGCTGATGTCAGATGGATCTTGGCTGAAAGCAGAGAATACCAGAAGGACGTTTACCTTGATTTTATTGACTATGCAAAGGCATTCGACTGTGTGGATCATAACAAATTACAGATAACGTTTCAAAGAATGGGAATTCCAAAACACTTAATT